CTCAGAGGGCGGGACCGCCTGGGGCTGGGAATCCTGCCTGGAACCCGTCCTGCCTCAGTTCCCACAGTCAGACTGGGAGCCCCAAGATCCCTTCCACTTCCCCCTCCTCCTTCCCTGAAGCTGCTAGATCAACACTGACCTTCGTGCGCCAACCCCTGCCACCCCTCTGGCCCCAGGCTTCTCTGAGAACCTGTCCTGGGTCAGCAAAGCCGGGGTTCCTCACTCCCCACCTCTCATGGCTTTCTGCCTTCTGATTGGTAGGGGACCCTGGGGTGCCTCAAGAGAAAAGCCTAGGGACCTACTACCCAAATGTCAGCCATCGAGGGCACACGCGGTCCCTGTGATGCCACCTGGTGTGGGGGCATGTTTTCCTGCGTTGGCTGGGCAGGCCAGCTGGCTGAAGAAACCATCGGGTCTGTGTCCTGACCACGAAGTGCCTGCTCCTGGAGGAGAGAGAACGCCTTCCCACCAGGTGGGATGCAGACGGGGGCAACCCATCCCCCTGCAGCTCCTCCCGGCATCCTTTGCCCACCGCTATCCCAGACGCCCCTCCGTGGTGCACGGAGACCCAGTCCAACCCAGGCATTTGACAGGCGGGATCCCAGGCCCCCGACTCCAAGCCACCTCGCTATGGAGTTGGACAGCGCAGGCGAGCCTCGGGCTTGGGCGCAGCCGCCCCTGGCTCCAGGTACACGCAGCCCAGAGGTCTGGTTTCTTCCCTGCACTGGTTGGAGGCAGGCGCTGGGCCTCCGTGTTCGCACCTGCCCCAGGGTCAGCTGGCTGATGCTCACACCCCGCACAGAGGCCTCAATGCCGCAGTTTGTGCTCAGCACCGGGATCATCTTTATAGTCTGCGTGCAGCAGTCGCAGGATCCCGAAGCGTCTCCCCGCTGCACGTCGACAGAGGCAACAGAGCCGGCTGTGGCCAGTGACTGCGGCCAGCGGACGCCCGCTCCGCCGCGCTCCCCCCGGCTGCAACGCCCAGAGGAGCCCCTCGAGGACCCCCGCCGCGGGCGGCCCTGGGTGCCCTCTCCCGCAGACAGCGCCAGCGAGGCCCCGCCCCAGGGAGTGGCGTGGAGCCGGAGAAGTCAAACTTTCCGTGAGCCGCCAGCCAAAAATGAGCCCGGCAGAAGGTCCACCGCAGACCCGGGCCACGTGGACCCCTCGGAGGGGAGGGCGTTGAACTCTTCGCGGCTCCCTGGTGCAGAGCTGCGGGCTGGCGCTGGGGGGCGGGGGTGCGGGGGGTGGTCCCTGGATAAGGAAACCCAGTCTCTTCCCGGGAGGAGCTGGCCCTCAGCGGAGAGGGGGGCACCACGCTGGCCTTCTATTCACTGCCCACCACGGGGCAGGCACTGCTAGGGGCCGCAGCCTGAACTTTATGGCGGACCTAGGAGGCCTGATCCCCACTGGTCAAGTTCAGGAGGTAAAGCTGGAAGAGTTACGGGGCTCCACCCAGGTCATGCAACAGGGCGGCAGACCCGCACGCCCAGGCCCAGGTCTGAGTGAGGGAGCCCTAGGAGCCCTGCTGCCCTCCCAAAGGACTCTCACCTGATGAGGCTCCATCCACCGTGGGGGAGGGGACAGGGCGCCCGCAGGCCTGAGTCAGAGCCAGGGTCCACGTTGGGCTGGAGAGCTGAGGGAGTTTTCTGGGAGACGGTGTATGTAAGAGGCACAGAGAGTCCCAGGGCGGAGGAAATGGCTAACACGGGTCTGCTCCCGGTGAAGTGGGAGGTTGGAGTCCACCCAGAGTGCCTTGGGAGAAAGCCCTGCCGGTTGACTTCAAGATGAGCCACTCGTGAGTGACCCTGGAGGGCAGCCCCCTCAGACGCCCGGTTGCCATGAGTAGGTGTGGCGTGGGGAGGGTCCCAGCAGGTGGGTGAGGCACACTGTGGGCCAATGTGAGGTGCGACCTGGGCCATGGGGGGGCCTCCCTGGCCTGCTGAGGTGCTGGGTGGTGGACTGGCCTGAGAGCAGAGCTTACTAAGTGAGGGACCCCTGGTGTGGTGTGCTGACCCTCACCTGAACTCCGGAAGCTGGCAGACTCTGCCAGTGTGGAAAGGAGCCCTCCCCCCCAATGTGGGTGCACACAGCCGCTGGCCTCTCTCCAGTGCCAACCAGCGATCCTTCGTTTGCGCCCCCAGTTCTGATGTGTTGTCCCAAGGTGCCCGCTGCTCTGCAGTGGGTCCCCAAGCGGAGCTCCCTAGTGCCCGGTCAGCCGTGAGCCAGGACGCCGGACACGATGGAGGAAAGGCAGGGGAGCGGCTGGGAGAAGGCCCTTCTGGGAGCGGAGGAAATGGGAAAAACAGGACCAGGACAGACAGACAGATGGGCCAGGGGGTGGGGGCAGGGGAGCAGTCCAGGAGCAGGTTGGGAGGCCCAGAGGTGGGTGGGGAGAGGGAGGTGAGAAGTGGAAGGAGCTGGGAGGCGGGTGGGGAGGGGCGAAGAGGGCGCCTGAGTGCTGAGCCATGCTCCCAAGAGGGAGTTTGAGAGCTCCCATTGCTGGGGCCACTGCGTCATGCTCATGGGGGGTCTCCCCCTTTATCTCATTGTGCTTCCATGTTCCCAAGGGACACCTTTCCCCAGCGGCGGGTCTTTTCTGAGCTGCGTCTTCACGAGAGCACACAGCTTCATCTTTCTCCTGTGGAGCCGCGGGTGGGTTTCAACCGCTGACCTGGGGGGCCAGCAGGCTAAAGCCTCCCCCTTCCCCACCATCACCAAGGCTCCCAGAGCCCTGCAAGCCCAGTCTCGGGATCTGGGGTGGAGGGAACTCTAGATGGGCCCTTAGGGTCAGTCACCTGGCCTAAGGGAGAGCCTGCACAGACCACTGGCCACCAGAGGGAGCGCCGGGGAGGGCCCAGCTGGGGCGTGGGAGGAGTACTCCCAAAGGTGAGGCCATTCTAGCACCCTCTGCAAATTAGCAAATTCAACTGTTTTCCTTTACCCTGAGCCCCAAGCAAAGCAGGCTGGGAGGGCAGCCTGGCCCTTTGTTAGGGGAAATTTATTAATATCCCAAGTATGCAGGGCCCTACTTTCCCACCCCAAATCAAAGCCTTTACAAGCACCTGGGCTTCGCATTTAAAAGGGCCTGGAGCTCTTATATGGCAGGGTCCTGCTGGGAGCGGGGGATGGAACCTGGAAATTCTTCTTGCCCAATCTTCCCAGCCTTCCTTTCCCAACTGGGCCTTCACCTGGGGAGGGGTGAGGGTGGGGAGGAGGAGGAGGTGGGGCCAGAGCTGGCTAGGGACAGAAAGCTGCCCAGAGCAGGGGAAAGGGAACTGCTGGTGGGCTGGGGCCTCCCCTAGCTCTGCTTGCTGGGCTGGCTAACCTTGGTCTCCTCCTTCTCTAGATCTCCGTTTACACACACATATATGACATCGAAACGGCCTGTGCGCATCCACGACTCTAAAGGCCTGCAGCTGGAAGCTACTCGATGGTACCAAGGAAGAAAGGCTTGGTGATCCGCTTCCATAAAGATGACAGCCAAGAAAACGCTGTGGTGCAGTTCCCGGGAACACACAGGGTCTCCGTGAATCAGTATTCGATGCCAGCACGTTTGGTTTGGGGTAGGGTGTGTCTTCCCGCCTCAGTCTCCCACAGCCCCGCACCCCACAGTGAGGCAGCCGAGCCAACATCAGAAGTCAAGAGGAACAGAGAGAGGAGGTGGTGAGCCTCCTTCCCCTTGGGGAGCAGGGAAGTCCTGTGCCGCCCACCTGGCTTCTCCAGGTGAGGCTCCAAGGGTGCAGGGCAAGGAAGACGACTTCTGAGGTGTTTATTAACAATGAGCCAACAGAACACATGGGCAGGGGAGGCACCAGGAGGGACAGGGGTGGGGCAGGACCCATGGGGCACAGGGTGTCCTGCCCCCCTGGGAAATGTCTCCTGGGAGAGCTCGGGCCAGGCCTGTTCCACCCTCCCGAGGAACAAGGTACCTGGGCAGGCCCCCATATGCCTGGGGTTGAAAACACAGCTGAGACTGCCTTCCTCTCTGCCTTTACCTCCCTATATGGCCTCATGGGATAGACAGCCGAGTGGGGGCCATCTCTGAGTCTCTTAGATGCCCCTCCTTGCATTTACAGGCAAGGCCAGCTTCTTGGAGGAAGCAGCGTGGGTTGGGGACAAGGGAGCAGGGAAGAGAGGCACCTAGGTCCAGACTCTGAGTCATCGATCTGGCCACTTCCCCTGGCCTACACAGGCCCAGGCTCCCTGGCCCCCACCTAGGTCTGTAATCCAGGAGTGAAGGTGGAGGTCGCCAGCACCTCTTACCTGTTCCCTATAGGCCTCCTACCCC